AAGAAAAGATAGAAGAAATCCAAAGGAAGATGGCCTTGGAGCAAGGGAAAAAAGAGGCCGAGTTAACTGTAACCACCAAAAAGACTGAATGGAATGCAGAAATCAAAATCGTCGTGGAAAAGAAATGGTATGTTGATCAGGGGCGTAATGTGAACATGCTCCAGGTAGAGCCTGATAATAACCTGGCCATGACTGCAGGGGAATGGTGGGAAGACAATGATTTCAGTCATGCATACACAGACGAGGGGTGGAAATCTGATACCTCTAACGATACGTGGTATACGGACGAGATTAATCACATGACCCGGAGTGGTCAGTACTTCAAACCCGCAGCTTTAGATCAGCCAGAATCCTCTAACAAAGAGTTTGAGAAATCAAAAGAGAAGGATTGTGAAGAAAACCTGGTCTTGAAATAGCTCAAGAAGATTCAGGCAGACAAATCAATCTGGGGACTGATAATGGCTTCCCGAGAGCATAGGCAAGCACTGCTAGAGGTAATGAATTGGACCAAACTGCCTATCGACAACTGCTGATCAACTGATATCATTAGTCACATCCAGGGACGTTACGCCAGTGATATCTTTCACAGATAAAGAGCTACCGCCTGAGGGTGCCAACCACAACCGACCCTTGTGTGTGACTTTGGAGAGTCGAAAAAAGTGGATTTCGGTGGTGTTAGTGGATACTGGATCAGCGATTAATGTGTGTCCAACACGGACTGCTTATGCCATAGGTTTGAGGCCGGTTGACTTCACGCCCACAGCCCAAGCCATCCAGGCTTATGACAATATGAGCATAGACGTCCCCGAACGTCCCAGGAGGGAATCCCGTTTTGTTCATTTGGGGCTCAATACAGTTCGGACTCAAATGTCACGGTTCTTAATCTGATTTCACAATGTGCAATGTAAGATTGATAAATCACCAAAGAGTTCAAATCCGGCAAATCATTTTTGAAAACAGATTTTTTGAAAGAAGTGCCAAACATGGACTGCTTTGCTAGATACAAAGTCGCCACCTAAATATTTTATTTTGGGAGAATTTAGGAAACCCTGACTCGTTGCCTAAGGCCACGTGTCCGTCATCACCAAAGTTGCCTCGGCTCAGGAACTTGGGTACGATTGGGGAAGGTCAACTATGAGCACCCCCTCTCGCCCGATCCGAAGACCGGCCTCTACTAACCATGATATCTAGTCTCGTTAACATTATGCATTCTTATTCCGATTAATTAGCTAATCTTACTATGTGATGCGCATAACACAAAAGTATAGACTAGATCGCCTAATTTGGAACAAAGCATTGCATATTCGCTCGTTTGAAAGATGGTTTGAAATTTGCTACTCGCAAGTAGGCTAAAACACGGATTTCAACGAGTTGTTCCAACTCAAACAATCCAACCTTCACCCACAGGCATTCAGGCAATTTATATCATATAAGCACATAGCCTCATGGCAAGCATGCTGTCATATTAACATTCACACTCATGCGAGATGCTAAAGCATAAACACTTACAGTGTACTCTGAGCCAAAACAAGAAACTAATTAGTAATCATGCATGATCCTAGTTCATGTTAAAATGGCTAATACAACACATACAGAATGCAACTAGAATAGGCTCGGCTAATCTAAGAATGGCATGTGAAATGTGACAACTCGATACACGTATTCAAGTTGGAATGGAAATACTATGCGTTTAATATGATGCGCCGAGCCCGATGCATGCAAAACGAATGAATGTATGCAAACGTGCTATCATAAGTATGCTAATTGAAACATGCCCTAAACTAACCATCAAAAGCTAGTAAATAAAAGGGAAGAAAGACGTTGGGTTGGAAGACATACACACACTCACACACACTTATTACACAATTGCCCTCGCTCGGAGGGTCCAAATAATATTGCACAACCAAATGAATACTGCTAAATTAATTATTACAGAACATCTAATTGATTAACGAATTAAATATAGAAGGAAGATGGCCGCAGCCCTGCCTCGGAATGCGCGAATGGTGCATGCTTGACTCGTCTCACCCGAAAACCTGTACCATGCCACTGTTGCCTCTGTTTACACTGCCTTGCTCCTCTGAAAATTTTCACGAGTCCCAAGGATGCTTCTCTGAACACTGAGGAGCATCACCGACCAAGTGGGAACATCACCGACCAAAGGGAATAGTCATCGACCATTGGTTTAACTATTGGCTAATTGTATTTGGTTGGTCGGCACAATAAGTAGTCGGTCAGCCAAATGTTCCTGCAGAAATCTGTTTTGACAGCAGCAGAGGACAGACAGTGTATGGTACGGGATTTTCAAGCAAATGTGTGTGTGGCCGCACTCCCTATCATGCAATGGACTCAAGGGAGCGTGGCTCTCGACCCTCGGGCCATCAATTATGCATTTTGATGCATGATGGCCTAAGAAGCCAAGCTTGCCGTTCATGTAAAATGCATGCAACAAAAGAGATGAGTGCCTTACACCCTATCATGTTTGAGATCAAGGGTATTGGCAACCGAGGTGTTTCGTCACTTTGAGTACGAACACACCTTACCCCTCATGCTTGGTTTGACACCCTAAACCAATCAATGCAATGCATGTATACAAACATGGCCCAAATGTACGAAATGACTAAGGCACAAAACATGCCAAATGCAATGTAACCTATGCATGCAAATGTAATGTATTAAGCATGCGAGATGCAATGCAATGCAACCTATCATGTAATGCAAACATGGTATATTGCAAGCATGCAACTAGAGGCAATAAATCAAACATACCACTATACACAAGGATGGACTTAGACTGAAATGGGAGGCCTCAGCCACACCCCAAAACAATGGCCAAAAGAGCCAAAAATGGCACAAATTATGCATGCAAGCATGCACACAGCAAGGCCTATCACCTAGGCATGGGAGGGGGAGCCCTCAAGGACACTTAAGGGTGACAAACAAAGACATCAAACACTCATGTTAAAGTCTGAAAAACATACGAAGGATGATGCCGAAATATGCTAGGAAATGGATGTAAAAAAAAAAGGAGCATTCAAGGCCTCAAATGAGGGCATTACTCAACACCTACCCCAAGCAAATAAGGCATGGATTTTTCAATGCAAAACAGAGTTTTAGCATGCAAAAGGGACCCCTAAAACCCAATGTCATGGCAACCCAAAGCCTCAAACACATAAGCATGCACAATGCTCATTTTAAGGCTCAACAAGACAACTCTTCGAGGCATGAAAGCGATGATGAATGCAATCATGCAAGCATGGATTAGGGACTGAGACGGCATGTAAAATGATCCCAAATCATTGAAACAACCCAACTAAAGCATACTCATAACTCACACTCTCAAGGCTCACAAGCCAAAATGCAAAGAGGCTATACCAAACATGGCAAATATTATCAAAACAGCACCCCACAGACCTCAAGCATGGCAAGACATGGCGAAGATCTTCACAAAGTTAGGCCAAAATATGAGAGCATGGTAGGCTAGATGCAAGATGCACTTCTGGGCAAAATGGGAGAATACAAGGCAAGTATATTAAGCATGAAAGGGGTCATTAATCCGACCAAAAACAGAGGCATATTGTGACCTAACAACATCCAAAAACCTCTAAAATGGTACCAAAGACAACTACTCATGCATGCTACCATTAAGAGCCAAAAATGCAAAAACAAAAAAGAGAGACAAAGGCAGAGGAGTGTCCCGCCCCTATGCAAGACCTCAAAACCCCTTCTTCACCACTGAAAATCCACTGGATTTCAGTGGTGAGAAGGCCAATACACAAGAGGTTCCAAAGCTTAACAAAGAGAGTACAAAAAGGGCCAAACAAGGCCTAAGAGGGGGAGATCGACCCCAAACAACAAAATGACCTTAATGAAGTATCTTAAGCATGAAAATACAAGACTTTTTCCAGTTATACACGAAGCTCAAATCAGTATGCAAAGCAAGTCAAAAGCTAGTGCAAGATTGGGGAATTTAAAGCAAAAGTGTTACCCTTGAAGAACACCTCAAGAACAGCAAGTCCAGCCACCTTCTTCTGATCAAAACCAGCTCAAAACCTCAAGAATAAACCCTCAACACCTCCCAAAGTCGAAGTATGGTGTAATGGTGTGTGTCTTAGTGCAAAAGTAAGAACAAATCACCCTTTTAGGCCCTCAAACACACACAAATGAAGAGAGAGAGGGAGATATAGAGAGACAATATGTATTTATCAGAATATATACGTTCTAGGTCTGATTTTACTGAACCAAAACAAAGGAGAGGGTTTGTCTCCTTATATAGACCATTAAAGGTGCTAAGCTTCCAAGAGAAGCTAATTAAAAGGATCAAGGCTTCTTCAAGAAGCCAAGGCAAAGGGGTGAAGGCTTCCTGAGGAAGCTAAGGCAGGGTCCAAGCTTCTTGAGAAAGCTAAGACAAAGGTCCAAGCTTCCTCAAGAAGCTAGACCAAAAGGGTGCAAAGGGGGCAAAACATCCATAGATGTGCACAGGGGCAGGGTTTGTGTATTCCAGCTGGCACAGCTGGCATGCACCACGCCTAAAAAAGGCAAAAAGGTGGTACCAGCCAGAAAAGGAGGCCATCGGCCAAACAGGTGGTCGGCCGGCCACACAAAATGCCGACCGGCCAATGGACTATTTCACCAATGGCCGGTAGCCTCAAAACACGGCCGGTGGCCTCAAGCCATGGCCGGTGGGTATCAGGGGTAACTAGCAAGCTACTCTCTACCCTCAGGTGCAAAAACAAACAAGTCCTTGGTGTAAAACCAAGCACAGAACAAGTAAGTTGAGAGATCCTAAGGCAAGGCGCGTAGCCAAGACCTCCGGGAACTCAAAACAAACACGAACATAGATGATCACCGAGTGTTCAAGTATTGACATCCAAATCTTGAGGACGGTCAAAAATGGGGTGTGTACAGCCGAGATGTTATGGTAATGTTCATGAGCCATTTCCTAATCGGCCTATCCGAACATGAGGTAAAGTTCCATATAATGGATGTACTAGCAATCTTCAATCTACTACTGGGCAGGCCTTGGCTACATCAGATAACTTCCCACCAAGCACGTGCTCACTCTCTTCACCATTCAAATCAATTTTAACCCATGGATGCTTCATCTTTTTGTTGATCAACCCCTCCAATTCCATTGCTACTTCCTTCATAGTAGGCCTCTCCTCTCCTTTTACTATTAAGCACCTCTTTGCAATATTAGCTACTTCTATGAGCTCCTCAACAATTCCTTCAATTTCTATTTGTTCATCAATAACATGGAACAACCGATCATTTTTCATACACGAAAGAAAATACCTAGCTAGACTCCTCTCCTTCTCTGGCTTGTCAAATGACAAAACCTTCTTTCCAGTTATTACCTCCACAAGGACTACTCCGAAGCTGTAAACATCACTTTTTTCTGTCAATTGGTTTGTGAGCATGTACTCAGGGTCCAAGTATCCAAGAGTTCCTTGCATCACCGTTGCTAATTGATCTTGGTCTAGTGGAACCAACCTTGATGCTCCAAAGTCTGACACTTTTGCAGTGTAGTTATCGTCTAAGAGTATATTCGTAGACTTAACATCTCTATGAATAATAGGAATCGATGCTGCAGAGTGCAAATATGACAATACTCCAGCAGTTTCAGCAGCTATTCGCAAACGATTTTCCCATGATATAGACGCCTTGAAGTGGTTATGTATATGCTCAAAGAGAGTGCCATTAGTGATGAATTCATAGACGAGTAAAGGGACTTGAGTTTCCAAACAACAACCTAAGAGTTTGACCACATTCCTATGATTGATCTGTGAAAGCACAACCACCTCATTGATGAATTGCTCTATTTGACTTTGATTCATAATTTGCGATTTTTTGATGGCCACTGTCGTGTTATCTGCTAGAATTCCCCTATAAACTGTTCCAAAACCTCCACTGCCAACAATTCTATTGTCATCGTAGTTGTTGGTAGCCCGCTTGAGCTCTTCTAAAGTAAAGATTTTGACCACTTCTCGAGTCGGTCTCTCTAGTCTAGAGAGTTGTTGTTTCAACATTAATCCACCATTCTGCTTGAAGAACTTTTCTTTAAGTTTCATGTGCTTTCTTTTGTTGAAAATCCAATACAACCAAGAGCTACTCACCAAAACTGTCAAAGCACCAATGGCAACACCTGTATTTCAAACAAGTCATTTTAAGTAACAAAGACTATAAACATATCTTGCCAATATATTGATTTGAAACTAAGCATAGAAAGAAAATTATATGACACACGATATTAATATAAAAAATGTCATATAAACTTACAAATTTTACCAAAAAAAATTATTACTGCTAATGTAACATGCAATAATAAAACTTTAAAATCTGGAACATACCCATTGAAATAATATGTTATGTATCATATATATGAGTGAGTAAGATAAATTTGTAAAATTTATTAATTTATATAGCATTACCCTATTAAATAATTTTAAATATTCTTTCAAGGCACTGGAGTATAAAAGGATGTGGATCCAATTGGGGATGTAGGTTACAAGTAAATTCATCCAAATTCATTAATTATGTGAATAAGATGTACTTTATTTCTTTTACTTTTGACATATATGACATTACCAATCACAATCTGAAGCACAAGAACTCGACCAGCAATGCAACGTGTTCCATCCGTTCTGCCATCACCGTGATATCTCTTGGGGCAAGAGCACGTATAATCCCCAGGCGTGTTTAAGCATTTGCTTTCCTCTACACACTGGTTGAGATTTGGATCTGCACACTCATCTATGTCTGCAAAACAATCAAAACAGAGGAGGGAGGGCTCAATAATGAAATTAAAACATCACAGAAGCAATATGTATAGAATCAAACGTAATTGAATCCGAACATGATGAATTTGATGAAGCTAGCTAAATGGATACTACTAGCCTTTGCAACCATCTGAGAGGTACGCGTTCCCTTTGTAACCATTGGAACACTTGCAGAGATACCCATGACCAATTTCTGCACTATAACAATCACTATGATCTCCACATGCATAACTAGTCAAATTTCTCTTAGCTTCATCGCATGTCTCATTATCCCATATTCCCCAATCAAGCACCAACGGCACCATGTCTTCTGTAAAATTTTGGAGGTAAGTTTTGGAGAAATTAAACGCAGCTTCTTCGACAACAAAGGCATAGCTGCAGGGATTGAAGTCCGATACATTTGTATGATTGTTGAAGCTATGTGCATTGATTTCGATATGGCTGAGTCGTTTTGGCATGGAGGTCTGACAGCAACCAATTCCAGAGCAAGATCCATCATCAGGAACGTAGGAGATGTTCATACAACTTGACACACACCCAGTTGCAAAAGCGAAACTGTTGTTTTCAAAAATTTGGAGATACCCATATGTGTCACAACCAATAGTAGTGAACTTGTTCTTCGTACTAATGGAGAAATTGGCCGTGTTGAGCAATGCATAAATGTTGCTCTGTAATGTACCTAACAGGTCGTAACAATTACGAGATATGTAATTCATGACGCCTAACTCACCCTCGTCAAGCGATATATTTGTAACATGGAGATTGCTATGCCATAAATATGGCTGGGAATCGCTGCAATTAATGAAGAAATCTTCGCCGAGATAACAATTCTCTTTCACGCCGAATGGGTATGGGATGTTTAAATTCCCGCAACGGTTCATGCAGCCATGATTCTTCAAATCTGCTTCTGTTGGTGGTGCTGCTTTTGTTGCTGCTGATAATGAAAATATCACCACCACTACTACTTGTACTAGTACTAGAATCACGATGATGGGTTGTAGTTGCAATTGCATTCCTTGCGAGAAAGCCATGGCTAGCTTGCCTATTGGAAAAAAGCTTTTATGTATTCAAAATTCATATATAAAGTGTCAATTGTGAAATATTTCTAGGCAATCACGAAGAAAAAGTATACCGAGTCAATTAGAGTAAATCAGTGCAAAATAGACAACATAACTTATTGGAGTGATTTGCAACTAGTCTAACAACTGTATGGATGGTATTCACTGTAATAAAAAATTAAAAAATAAAATTAACTTTGCCCGGTTGTATAAATTTAGTCTTGTAGTCCCTATTGTATTAATTCTTCCCTATAATATTTTAGGACAACTTACGTATAGGTCCTATAGGTAAACTTGTTATCTAATAGATCTTATGATAATTAATTACATTTTCATTAAACACCATCAAAAAGTCACTAATCATAAGTTTTAGCAACAATTTAAAAAAATCATCACAAAAAAAGTCGCTAATTTTTAACTTTCAATGACAATTTGAAAAATTCATCTTAGAAAAACGTCACTAAGTGTAAGTTTTAGTGAGAATTTATAAAAATTGTGATTAATGAGGGCATTACTCAACACCTACCCCAAGCAAATAAGGCATGGATTTTTCAATGCAAAACAGAGTTTTAGCATGCAAAAGGGACCCCTAAAACCCAATGTCATGGCAACCCAAAGCCTCAAGCACATAAGCATGCACAATGCTCATTTTAAGGCTCAACAAGACAACTCTTCGAGGCATGAAAGGGATGATCAATGCAATCATGCAAGCATGGATTAGGGACTGAGACAACATGTAAAATGACCCCAAATCATTGAAACAACCCAACTAAAGCATACTCATAACTCAAACTCTCAAGGCTCACAAGCCAAAATGCAAAGAGGCTATACCAAACATGGCAAATATTATCAAAATGGCACCCCACAAACCTCAAGCATGGTAAGACATGGCAAAGAACTTCACAAAGTTAGGCCAAAATATGAGAGCATGGTAGGCTAGATACAAGATGCACTTCTAGGCAAAATGGGGGAATACAAGGCAAGTATATTAGGCATGAAAAGGGTTATTAATCCGACCAAAAACAGAGGCATATTGGACCTAACAACATCCAAAAACCTCTGAAATGGTACCAAAGACAACTGCTCATGCATGCTACCATTAAGAGCCAAAAATGCAAAAAAAAAAAAAAAAAAAAAAAAAAACAAAGGGAGAGGGGTGTCCCTCCCCTATGCAAGACCTCAAAACCCCTTCTTCACCATTGAAAATCCACTGGATTTCAGTGGTGAAAAGGCCAATACACAAGAGGTTCCAAAGCTTAACAAAGAGAATACAAAAAGGGCCAAACAAGGCCTAAGAGGGGGAGATCGACCCCAAACAACAAAATGACCTTAATGAAGTATCTTAAGCATGCAAATACAAGACTTTTTTCAGTTATACACGAAGCTCAAATCAGTATGCAAAGCAGGTCAAAAGCTAGTTCAAGATTGGGGAATTTAAAGCAAAAGTGTTACCCTTGAAGAACACCTCAAGAACAGCAAGTCCAGCCACCTTCTTCTGATCAAAACCAGCTCAAAACCTCAAGATTAAACCCTCAACACCTCCCAAATTCGAAGTATGGTGTAATGGTGTGTGTCTTAGTGCAAAAGTAAGAACAAATCACCCTTTTAGGCCCTCAAACACTCACAAATGAAGAGAGAGAGGGAGATATAGAGAGAGAAGATGTATGTGTCAGAATATATATGTTCTAGGTCTAATTTTGTTGAACCAAAACAAAGGAGAGGGTTTGTCTCCTTATATAGACCATCAAAGGTGCTAAGCTTCCAAGAGAAGCTAATTAAAAGGATCAAGGCTTCTTCAAGAAGCCAAGGAAAAGGGGCGAAGGCTTCCTGAGGAAGCTAAGGTAGGGTCCAAGCTTCTTGAGGAAGCTAAGACAAAGGTCCAAGCTTCCTCAAGAAGCTAGACCAAAAGGGTGCAAAGGGGGCAAAACAGCCACAGATGTGCACAGAGGCAGGGTTTGTGCATTCCAGCTGGCACAGCTGGCATGCACCATGCCTAAAAAAGGAAAAAAGGTGGTACCATCCAGAAAAGGAGGCCATCGACCAAACAGGTGGTCGGCCGGCCACACAAAATGCCGACCGGCCAATGGACTATTTCACCAATGGCCGGTAGCCTCAAAACACGGTCGGTGGCCTCAAGCCATGGCCGGTGGGTATCAGGGGTAACTAGCAAGCTACTCTCTACCCTCAAGTGCAAAAACAAACAAGTCCTTGGTGTAAAACCAAGCACAGAATAAGCAAGTCGAGAGATCCTGAGGTAAGGCGCGTAGCCAAGACCTCTGGGAACTTAAAACAAACACGAACATGGATGATCACCGAGTGTTCAAGCGGTGACATCCAAATCTTGAGGACGGTCAAAAATGGGGTGTCTACAGCCGTGATGTTATGGTAACGTTCATGAGCCATTTCCTAATCGGCCCATCCGAACATGAGGTAAAGTTCCATATAATGGATGTACCAGCAATCTTCAATCTACTACTGGGCAGGCCTTGGCTACATCAGATAAAGGCTGTGTCATCAACAGCCCATCAGTTGGTGAAATACCCCTTCAAATGTGGAATCACCACTGTGTACGATAATTTAGCGATCTATCCTCCTCAGGGAACTGCCACACCAGTGTTGGAAATCATACATGGGAAAGAGGATGTATTCCTCTCTGGCTTCTCGCTGATAGAGGCCTAGGTGGTCCAAACCATCATGGCAGAAGACGACAGAACTTATGTAAGTGCTCAATCCATCTACATGATGAACAAATAGGGGCATACGCCCGGACCAGGATTGGGCAGGAGTGGCAGGCAAGGAGGTACTATTGCCAAGGAGATGAGTCACAACCCCCATGCTTTTGGGCTGGGATACAAACCTATTGCTGAAGACTGGCGAAGGAAAGGGCAAGAGTTGAGAGGAAAAATTAAACCAAAGAAGACTGGGGGACAGTATGAGTTAGTCCACAAACCAATACAGGGAACCTTGAACAAACGCTTTGTCTGCCAAGGGGAAGATTTCCCCTTCTGTGGATTTCCATAGCCTTGGTTTGACCGGGAGATGAAGATAAGGTATCCCGGGTTCGAGATCTTCTTCGGGCACCAGTTACCAGAAGAGGAGGATAAGCAGATGGACTTGAGCATTAATACAGATCAAGGCAAGACTACAAGTGTGAACATTAAAGAAGAAGAGCTGTTGGGAAAAGCACTAACTGACCTACTAGAGAGTTCTACTGTTGGAGCTGAGTCTGACAACTTGTGGGTAGTTTTACCATCTCAATGAACGGGGATAAACCAACAGCGGATTTCTCTAATCTTATTGTGTATGAATCTGAGGCTTCGCATCTAGTTTGGAAATTTGAAAAGGGCACCATCAGTAGTTCTGAATCGGATAATGAGTCCAAATCTGATTCCATTGAGTCTGTGGAGTTAAAGTCAGATTCGAGTTCTTCTAAGTTTGGTACTTCCGAGAGTGGTAACCCGGATGCCAAAGTCTTGTCCAAGTCGTCTTTTAGTTTTTCTTTTGAGTCAACTGTAACCAAGGACCCAGACTTTACTAATGAGAATGTCGTAGATTTCGTTTACTTCTCTGTGCCTTTAGTTTGTTGCACTGGTCTTGATTTTCAAAATTTTGACTTAAACGAAGAGGAAGAAATTCCTCGGGCTTTGAAAAATTTGGTTGACCAAGAGGAGGAGAGGTGCGTTAAGCCCTGCACAGATGAAATCATTGCAATTAACGTGGGTACTGAGGAGGATCCCGCTTGATCCGAATCGGATCCATGTTGTCTTCTGAGGAACACGAGCGTTTAATCGCTTTATTAAAAATTTTCAAAGATGTTTTCACGTGGCCCTATGAAGACATGCCTGCAATCGATCCTGAGATTATACAACACAGGATCCCTCTTGACCCTGAGGCCCGACTAGTCAAGCAAAAACTGCGTAGAGTTCGCCCAGATTGGGCATTGAAGATTAAAGAGGAGGTCACCAAATAGATTAATGCAAGTTTCTTGATGGTATCTGAGTACCCGACTTGGTTGGCTAATATCATTCCAGTTCCAAAGAAGGATGGCAGAATCAGGGTCTGCGACGACTTTCGGGATCTGAATAGAGCTAGTCTGAAAGATGACTTTCCATTTCCACACATCGATGAACTAGTAGAATTTACAACTGTCCATGCTTTGCTTTCGTTTATGGATATGTTTTCCTGGTATAATTAGATTTTGATGGCACTAGAGGACAGAGAGAAAACAGTTTTCACCACGTCGTGGGTTACCTACAGCTATAGAGTTATGCCTTTTGGATTAAAAAACGCCGAGGCTACCTATCAGAGGGCTATGACCACCATCTTGCACGACATGATCAACAAGGACGCTGAGGTGTATGTGGACGATATGACTGTCAAGTCTAAAGAGCGAGAAGGCCACTACACCACACTAGAAAAATTCTTTGAGCGAATCAGGGAGTATAAACTGAGGTTAAACCCGCAGAAATGCACCTTCAGGGTGACTATAGGAAAAATGTTAAGATTTTTGATCACATAGAGAGGAATTGAAGTAGATCCCTCCAAAATCAAGGCCATTGTAGAAATGCCATCACCGAGGACTGAAAAGGAGGTGCGCAGCTTTCTGTGGAAAGTGCAATTCAAAAGACGATTTATCTCAAAATTAACCTTGACTTGTGAACCACTGTTTGGTCTGTTAAAGAAAGGAAAGAAGTTTAATGGAATGATAGATGTCAGTTTGCCTTCGAATAGGTCAAGTAGTACCTTCAAAATCCATCTGTATTGTTGCCACCAGAACCGGGGAAAGCACTGATATTGTATTTATCGATAACAGATTCGACCATGAGGTGCATACTACGCAAGAATCAGAAGCTAAGGTGGAGAAGGCCATCTACTATCTAAGTAAGAAGATGTTGGATTATGAAACTCATTACACTCCCCTCGAGAAGGCTTGTCTAGCCTTGGTATGGGCTACCCGGAAGCTGAGGCACTACTTATTAGCTCACTCTGTAATCCTGGTTTCGAGATTAGATCCCATCAAATATCTCTTTGAGAAACCGGC